GAGTTGGCCAGCTTCCACGTGTTTCAAGAAAAATGAAAAGAGGAGTGGAGAACGAGATGACGCCACAACGCTTAAAAAGAAAAACTAAAGCTATAGCCAGCTCAAATAAAGCATTGGGAAAAAAAAGAAAAAAACTTTCAGCCTTTCCACTCTAGCGAAGAATGAAGACCAGCGGAGCTGTACAATGGAAAGTAATGGCCGGCCGCAAGTTGGCAAGCCAGAGTTGAAAGGTTGCCGCCATCTATGAGCGACGGCGGCAACCAGATACGTAGCTTGCCGTCGCCGCCCATAGATGGCTGTAAGTGTCCAGAGTCCGGTGTCTTCATTTCTTTGCGGCGGACACGATCCTGGGGAAACAAGCCCTTAACAGCTCCGCTGCAAAAAGAAGCGGTAGTGATAAAAATGCGACGCGACTCTTTAAAAAGGCAGGCCGGCGGGTGGCTGGAAAACTTAGACCAGACGTCAGCGTCCTCGGCTTTTTCCATAAAACACAACGCTGCATATGCTCGTTCGATCGATATAACTAAATAGAGTTCCCATGGTTTTTTCTTTATATCAAACCTTCTTCGGAAGAATGTTGCGAACTCAAGCGCTGAAACTGTTATATTGGATCTGTGAGACCAATCAGATGTGTCTCCGATCCCGATGCGCGATCAGGATCGAAGACACATTAGAGAGTTTTCGAAGATCATTTCCGTCGTCCTGCAACGCTTTCCGTAACGAAGATGATCGTGCCGAGCATGAGTTGCGGGAAGAGTTCCAAGAGAGCGGAAACAACCTACGAAAACTTCATATTATTTTGTGAACAAACGGGAGAAATAGCGATATTACTTTTGGACACAATCTAGCTTAATAGAGAGTCAAACCGAGCTGTTGATAAGTAGCAAGAGTTGGTTATATGTAGCATACGGTTGCAGGACGTCCATCTAGCTGGCGACCACCGTGGTTCGACACAAGCAGGGGTGGGCAAAATACATGCAAATATGTAACGAAATACAAATACAAAATACTTCGTCAAGAATTTATTTAATTACAAATCTAATTACATTTCCAAAAAAAAGTATTTAAGTACAAGGAGACCAAATACAAACAAATGTATTTGGTCTCCTCCAAATACTTTTCCAAATACATTCCTCAAAATTTGCGTCTGCGGCTTCAGGGCACCCGCAACGGGTTTCTGGGTATCTCATTTTAATTTTGCATCGCACACTCGGGAGTTAGTGTGCGAGGCTCTAGTAACGTAATAGAAGTATAATAAAAAAAATGTAATCAGCTTGGATGTAATAGGTGAAAAAAGTACAGAGCTTCAAGCAGCTTTTGTTGTCGATCACATTTAGGTATAGACCAACAAATAACCGAGAAGACCAAGACGCGCAGCACTAGCTAGGGAATTTTTTATTGTTGCAATTCGCACCAGTTACGAAAATCTGGACGACCCGCGCATTTAGAATATTCAAAGCAAAAATATGGGTAGAAATCAGGCTGGAAAGCGTCACAAGTTGTCACAGGCACTTATTTAGCCAGTCTGCCTGTGAACGTCGATTTCGTCACCATTCCTGCCCTGGACTAGCACCGTAATCACAAAGTCACTAAACGCTTGTGCTTGATTGAGAGACACTGCATTCGGTGCAGAACGTAGTTTTCTTCCTGCTCTGGACAGTGCCTTTGAAATAAAGCTGGAGGGAAAAAGAAAAAAGCCCCATGACCGAAAGAAGGATGGAGACTATATCCTAGAACCAGATGCATAAAAACAAGATGTATTTTCGCCCACAAAATTGTATTTAATTACAATTGTATTCGAAATACCCACGTTTAAGTATTTAAATACACACGTCAAATACATTACCCAATTTGTAATTAAATACAAATGCAAAATACACAAAGTATATGAAATACGTATTTCCAATACTTGTATTTTAAATACTGACCACCCCTGGACACAAGAGTTGCTGAAACACCGCGCTTGACGGCTTCATCCGTGTCTTCTGCTGTGAAAGAAAAAAGAAAAGTATTTTGATGATTGACACTACGAGAAAAGTGTCGCTGAAGACGTTTGTCCTGTTTGCTCTAATATTACAGGGTGTTATTTTTTATTCGAAGCAGATTTTTTTAAAAAGGCGTCTTTTCTGCTACGTGAATGCCGTCTTCACTATGTGTTTCTTGAGCTCGGCGGACATTGGAGAGGCGAACAACCGTCACAGTCTGGTGAGTCATTAACTAAAATCTGTTAATTAACTTTTTAATTATTGGTTTTATGGACCATGTTGCAAATGTAATTTTGAAGCCAGCCGTCCTGGAAAACTATACCAACTTACACATTAAAAAAAAAATGCAACTGGTTTGGAGATATCCGTCGACAATTTCTCCCCTTTCTATCATCCGATTCCGAAACTGAAAGTTCCAAGTGCGCCGGAAGCGCTGATCACGTGACGCTTGTAGAAGTGACGGTTTCGTGACGTACAATTTGTCATGATCTCATATCTGCACTGCGGCTGTCACGGTGCGGCTCGAGGTATGCAAACTCGCAGGAACAGTCTTGAGCGTTCTCGCTTTTAATGCGTCATTGCCCTCGAAGCTCCATTCGCGATTGTTTGTCGGCGGGGGATTCGCTTCGCCAGATAGCGTGGGCGCACGAACGCCGGCTCTGCCAGTTGTAGCGTTAAAATGGCTGCGCAAATTCAGTCGAGGTATTCAGTCGCCGAGAAGGTTCAAATGGTTATGGCGTATGCTAAAATGAATGGCAACGTTCGTCTTGCCACGAGGCTGTATGCCGCCCAACACCCTGGTCGCACTGTTCCTGCCCCATCCACCGTCTTCCAGGTTGCCAAGAAGTTTCTGTCGACTGGGTCTGTGCATCGTCAAAGAAGAAGGAAAGCAGCTGTCTTGGACGAAGATTTTGAAATCGCTGTGTTAGCCTACGTGCGAGCGTACCCCGAAATCAGCATCCGAAATGTCGTCAAAGATTCCGAAGGCAGCATCTTTTCGGTATGGAAAGTCCTGAGAAAGCACACGCTCCATCCGTATCACATATCTTTGCATCAGGACCTCAGCGAGTGTGACTTTGAGAAGCGCTTGGAGTTTAGCAATTGGGCCCTTATTAAAACGAATGAAGACCCCGATTTTCTCACTAATGTACTCTGGACTAACGAAGCACAGTTTTGCCGAAATGGCAACGTGAACGGTCACAACGCGCACTACTGGTCTGATTCCAACCCTCACTGGCTCCGCCAGCATAACCATCAGGTTCGGTGGTCAGTGAATGAGTGGTGCGGCATGTTTCGTGACAGAATAGTGGGACCATTTTTTTCGAAGGCACACTGACAGCTCAGTCATGCACAGCCAACATACTTGATGGTGCTGTCAGTGACTTCATCTGCGATCTCCCGTTAAGCGAGCTTAGGAGCACGTGGTTCTAGCATGACGGAGCGCCAGCTCACTTCTCGTCGCGTGCGCGGAGCTACCTTAACGCCTGTTTTTCCCAGCAGTGGATTGGGCGCGGTGGACCTATGTTCTGGCCGCCAAGATCGCCTGACCTGACCCCGCTAGACGTTTTCCTTTGGGGTCACATCAAAAACGAAGTCTATTCAACTGAGCCCCAAGATGTCAACGACCTGAAAAACCGAATTGTCTCAGCATGCGCCAACATTGAACCACACGTCCTGAAGCGGGTGGTTCAATCTATGAAGAAACGATTCATGACATGCATATCAGTGGAGGGTCGCCATTTCGAACATTACTTGTAGTAAGACATTACCTTAGGGTCTAAGCACACCAGAAACTTAAATTATCAGCAATTCTGATCTCTGAAGTTATTTCGCTGAAGATAATAAATAGCAAAGACTTCTTTCTTGTAGCATTTCGTTTTCTTTTGTTAAGTCGACTGGCAGAGTCAGCGTTCGTGCGCCTACTCTATTTGGCGAAGCGCCTTCCCCGCCGACAAACAATCGTGAGTGAAGCTCCGAGGGCAATGACGCATTAAAAGCGAGACCGCTAAAGACCGTTCCCGCCAGTTTGCATACCTCGAGCCGCACCGTGACAGCCGCAGTGCAGATATGAGATCATGACGATGTGTACGTCACGAAACCGTCACTTCTACAAGCGTCACGTGATCAGCGCTTCCGGCACACTTGGAACTTTCAGTCTCGGAATTGGATGATAGAAAGGGGAGAAATTGTCGACGAATATCTCCAAACCAGTTGCGTTTTTTTTAAATGTGTAAGTTGGTATAGCCTTCCAGGACGGCTGGCTTCAAAATTACAATTGCAACATGGTCCATAAAACCAATAATTAAAAAGTTAAATAACAGATTTTAGTTAATGACTCACCAGACTGTGACGGTTGTTTTCCTCTCGAATGTCCGCCGAGCTCAAGAAACACATGGTGAAGACGGCATTCACGTAGCAGTAAAGACGCCTTTTTTAAAAATCTGTTTCGAATAAAAAATAACACCCTGTATATTACCCCAATAAAAAGGTTTAACACTTAACCGATTATTATAGAATTTGCTAGTTAGCTATAATCTACCCAGGTATGCCTTTCACCAGATTACTAAATTAAAACCACTGCACGAGGGATGAACAAAAAATGGTCATTTTGCCAAAAAATGGTCATTATGTCATTTTGCAATGACATAGCGGAATCTTTGTATTCAAATGTAATTTCTTATGCTTCCTGCCGATTTTTTTTTTCAATTAAAAAACAGCCATGTTTTGTTTATACGGACACCTTCGCTTCAAAGAGCAATTGTCGGTAACGTAGGTCGAGCATGATAATGACACGAAAACTATTTCATACGTAGGTTATAGAAAATTTCTTCTGTAGAGCGGGTGTTCATAATGACAGGGCCCATATTGAGGAGACATATATGGGAACACAATAAAATGAAACAAATATAAATTAGTTTTGCTAAAAATAATCTTCCAATTTTTTTTAATATAACAACACTATGACCAGCGTATTACAACCGAGCCCAGATGGTTGCTACGATACAGAGGTGAGCTTCATGTAAAGGCAACAGACAAGTGCGCACCTGTGGTGTTTTCTTTGGCAACCACGGGTAAATGGGTGATGCTCTTCAACCAGGTGACGTCATCCCAACTCTGCGATGCGTCGATGAGGGGATTCCTCATGGACATCACAGATTTCAGGACGGCGAATACGTCTTCGGAGGTTTTTCGAAGTTGGCATACCTGCGTTTAAATCACACTAGAGATTATCTTTACATTTTTTAGCGTGTATCTTATGTTAGAACCCTAAACGGCAGCTGACGGTTTTGGACAAAAAAATGCCACCCAGACGAATATTTTTAGAACCGGAAATACTCATCACTATGAAAGTTTGAAACCTGCTCGCCCAAGTGGCAAAGATCCGCGTATATATATATATATATATATATATATATATATATATATATATATATATATATATACAGGGTGTTCTTTTTTTTATTCTTACACATTTGTTAAAAAAAAAACGTGAAAGCTACACTAATGCGGTTTGTGCAGGTGGGTTTTACAGGCCGAGCGGAGATTATGTGGGTAGCTAATCTTTGCGATAAGTCGGCTAATTAATTTAAATTTGTTAATTAACTTTTTAATTAGAGGAAATAGACATCTGGTTTCAATTAGATACTTGCTGAGTATCATTGAAAACCCGTAAATCAACTATTTTTAGAAGGATATAAGGCCGGGGCAGCATTTTACGGCGTTCTGTAAAAACGCTCTATTTGGACGCGTTTCTAGATTTCGGTTTCTTATCGGAGCGCATCTACGCGCCCGCGGTCCTGCTCCTGGGTGGTCGCGGCGTGAAGCCACCTGCTCGCCTCCATCGTAGAATGGAACGACGTACGGCGCACGTCTGTTGCGCGTCTCAGCCACTGGGGAGCAGGACCGCGGGCGCGGCGATGCGCTCCGATAAGAAACCGAAATCTAGAAACGCGTCCAAATGGAGCGTTTTTACATAATGCTGTAAAATGCTTCCTTTGCGTTATATCCTTCCGAAATTGGTTGGTTTAGTGGTTTTCGATGATGCTCTACAAGTTTCTAATTGAAACCGTATGTCTATTTCCACTAATTAAGAAGTTAATTAAGAAATTTTAATTAATTAGCCGACTTATCGCAAAGATTAACCACCCACATAATGTCCGCCCGGCCGTATAACCCACCTGCACAAACCGCATTAGTGTAGCTTTCATGGTTTTTAGAGCGCAGCTCTTAGGGGCCCGTTCCCGGCTTGAGCGGCGTCGGCGTAACCAAGGTCATCCCAAGGTCACTTGACCCCCAAGGTCATCACAAGGTCACGCAACCCCAAGGTCACCCAAAGGTCACATGACCCCTCCCCAAGGGTCATCGGGGGTCACGTGACTCCCCAAGGTCACCCCAAGGTCTCGTCACCCCTTCCCCAGGGTCACGTGACACCCAAGGTCACGTGACACCCAAAGTCACGTGGCTCCCCGAGTCACATGACCCCCCGGGGTCACGTGGCCCCCGATGACGTCATCAGTGACGTCACTGATAACGTCACCGGCATCCGCATCGTCATCGTCATCATCACTGATGACGTCACCGGCATCCGCATCGTCATTATCACTGATGACGTCACCGGCATCCGCATCGTTATCGTCATCATCACTGATGACGTCACCGGCATCCGCATCGTCATCGTCATCATCGCTGATGACGACATCAGTGACGTCACTGATGACGTCACCGGCATCCGCATCGTCATCGTCATCATCGCTGATGACGTCACCGGCATCCGCATCGTCATTGTCATTATCACTGATGACGTCATCGGTATCCGCATCGTCATCGTTACTGATGACGTCATCAGCATCGTCATCGTCACGTGACCCCCCTAGGTCACGTGACCCCCACCCAATGTCACTTGACCCCCCCCCCCCTAGTACCCTTCCCTCCTCCTCCTCAAGAGCTGCGCTCTAATTCGGCGTTACAGGGAGTTGTAAACGGCTTTCACTTTTAGAGCGCAGCTCTTAGGGGCCCGTTTCCGGCTTGAGCGGCGTCGCCGTCGCCGTCGTCGTAACCGCGCGGTGCAATATGAGAAATGTCCCATAATGCACCGCGCGAGCTCCCCACCGGGGTCACGTGACCTCGTGGGGGGCATGTGATCCCCCCCCCGAGGTCACGTGACCCCCCGAAGTCACGTGACTCTCCTGAGGTCACGTGACCTCGAGTGGGGTCACGTGACCCCCCGAGGTCACGTGACCCCCGATGACGTCATCGTCTGATGACGTCACCGGCATCCACATCGTCATCGTCATCATCACTGATGACGTCATTAGTGACGTCACTGATGACGTCACCGGCATCCACATCGTCATCGTCATCATCACTGATGACGTCACCGGCATCCGCATCGTCATCGTCATCATCACTGATGACGTCATCAGTGACGTCACTGATGTCGTCACCGGCATCCGCATCGTCATCGTCATCATCACTGATGACGTCACCGACATTCGCATCGTCATCGTCATCATCACTGGTGAAGTCATCAGTGACGTCACTAATAACGTCATCGGTATCCGCATCGTCATCGTCACTGATGACGTCATCAGTGACGTCAGTGCTGACATCTTCGGCATTGGGGGAGTCACGTGACCCCCCCTGGTTAGTTGAACCCCCCCCCCCCCCAGTACCCTTCCCTCCTCCTCCTCAAGAGCTGCGCTCTAATTCGGCGTTACATGGAGTTGTAAGTGGGTTTCACTTGTTTTTTTAAACAAATGTGTAAGAATAAAAAAAAATACCCTCTATATATATATATATATATATATATATATATATATATATTGTGTGAGAATATATGGCTTTGAAGAGTCTAAAGAGGTTAAAGCAGAGCAACATTTGATTTTGTTTGGTCAGCCAGAGTCTGGGTTCCTTAAACCTCCTTCGTTAAATAGTTAAAGTTCGGCTTCGCTGCCGGTTCTTCGTTTCCTACGTGTCATATTTGGTTTAGGTCTGACAGTCTGGCAATTATGTGGGGAGCCAGAGAGAAACCGAAGAAACGTCAAGGAAAAATAATCTGTCAGTAAATAACGCCTTGGAGCATAACAATATTAGGGCCGAGATGGACATCTAAGATTGCCAAGCTAGTGCCAAGAACGGCGCTTTTATTGAGTGATATCTAGGTGGTTTGTCTTAATTCCACATATTTGACCCATCTCTAGGAGTTCAGTCTCCATGAAACATCTCTACACAAACCGCATTTCAAACTGACAACATGGTGATAACTTACGTCAAATGTCGCATCAATATTTTGTGCACGATCCGAGCGTGATGCATGCCCAATCGCCCGATTCAGACGCTATATTAACAAATCATCATACGTAGAATGTTCATAAGTCGAATGATATGAGCGCACTTGTTTACGTACCGAAACACAAACCGCGACATCAGACTAGAACGCTATTGGTAGCTATATTCAGATGATCGCTTACAAGTAAACCAATTGGAATTATGTGCTACCTACAGCATACTGTATATCGTTCTCTTGGTTGTAACACAATCGCAAACCGTCTCAACCTATCGCTTTCGGGTATCGGGGTATCGCTCTCGCGTATTGCTTTTAGCGTCTAAGATTTTCACAAAGTCGCCCTGCCAGAAACAAATTCTATGATAAAATGACAGCTCTCATTGATGAAACACTATTACTCTCTTGCGAACCCACGTTAAAACTCAGTGAAGGTGACCCCGTGGCATTGAGCCACTACCGGTACAAGTAAACTAGGTACAACAACACAGGATATCTATCACAAGAATACCGTTTGCAAAGCAAGCGGCCATGGTGTGGAAACTAAAAAGACACAATGAGCAAATTCAGGAGTCCCAACACATCTGAACACTGCGTATGAAAGGTACGCTTGTAGCGTAATGCAGCGCTCACCATATAAAGCTCACGCCCGCGCAACAGAGCTTGCTGGGAGTCTTGGATCGCTAGATTGGACATTCGTATAAAAAAGGTCACGGAAGTGACGTAAAAGAAGGGAGGAATGTACCGTAGCAACGCACGCACCGCGTCTCTGCTTTCTGGCGCATCTACGTCAACGCGCAATTGACGCCTGTCACCCGTTTGAGTGACGTCCGGAAATAAGAACCATATAAGAACTATATAGGAACTATATAAGATATATAAGAACATTTACAAAACAAGTTTCTTATATGGTTCTTATATGTTTTTATATATCGTATATAGTTCTTGTATGGTTCTTATATGTTCTTATATATCTTGTATGATTCATATGTGGTTGTTAGACACAAGACATTTCTCACACAATTGGCTTTTTGACTAGGGCAGAGCCAGGCACCGGCGAGCGGTAGTAGCTACGCATTCCCTGAGGCGTCCCTGCGTGCAGAAACCGGTGTAGGGTTTACTAGAAAACGAGGAGCAGTTTCTGCGTCTTGTGAAGCGACGGCAACCAAACCAATCTGTCGGTGACCATCCCAACTGTTCTAATACAAGTACAATTTCCGGAAAGTAAGATAAACCCAATGTACGCTGATGAAACCAACCGCTTTTTTGTGTCCAGTTTTAGGACGTTGTTAACTAGACCAAACGTTGTTTCAATATAATACGGGATGCAGGATGTGCACTACGCGCCATCTTTAAACATCGTAGAGGAGCAAGCAAGAATGTCGCGGTTGACGCCTGCTCATAAACAGGAGACACTCTTATGTCGGAGCACTCGTTCTTCGACGCCCTACCCGACGACTTCAACCCGAGAGTGATTTTCGCTAGCGCTCCAGTCTGCCGTCTCGACGGCGCCCAGCCGAGGCCCCTCGGCAAAGTCACAATAGGTTGGGAGAGGAGGCGCCGGGGACCAGCTATCTCCGAAATCCGAATCCTTCAAACCCCTCACAAAGCAGGCCCACCTTAGAAAAGACATCACCCCCACGAGAGGCGCGTAAAGGGGTGTCCAAACAGGACACTACAAAACGCACGACTCCGACAAATCGTGAAAATTGAAGCGGACGCTTCTATTTTTACGATTTCTCAGAGTCGTGAAACTTTTTGCAGGAGTCGTGAAAATTTTCACGATCACGGCTTCTCTCCTCGCCTCCTCCACTTTTCTCTGACGTCACACGCCACCTGCATCTGGCTCACCTCGCCAACGCCCTCGCGTACCGCCGTCGCCTCGGCTCGAAGGCCAAGGGGGTCCGGCTTCGGGTGGATTTGGGACATTCCTGCGTCGAAGGGTGCGTTTCGCCCTCCTCGGATCAGCTTTCTTTGTCGAGATCACTTTCGTCGTGATGGCGTCGGGCGCGGTTCCGTATTGTGAGCGGAGGCCTTGAGCGATTGACCGACAGCCAACAGAGCGTGTGAGTGGCGCTCCGGACCCACGTGATGAACACAGCAAGGCCGCCGTGGAGGAAGCGAGGGGGACATTTGTCGGAGGGAAGTTTCCCCCCGACAGCCGGAAGCGGAGCGCGGCACGATTTGCCGGAGTCGTGAGTTCGGTAGTATCCTGTTTGGAGAGGCCTTAAGTTGGCAAAAGTCATACGCGCGAAGCGTGCTGAACTGAACTTATCACATTCGAGAACATTTCTTTAAAAATGCTCAGTAAATGTATAATTCGATCCTAGATGGTTTAAAATGTGATGGCGCATGCAGTCCATGCGATCAATTCATATGGAATTTTTTTGAAAAAACTTTTTTGGAAACACATCTGAAAGTTTGTGCGTAACGCCATATCTGAGCTTTTTTTATACACCATTCCAGACTACCCGCGCTACACAAAAAATGAGAAAGCGTTAAATTAACCTGAAGTGTTGAGGCGTTTTCTCTAACAGTTGGGGACAGAACGCGATTTAAAAACGACGCAGCGGTTAACTGCTGGAGCCAAACATCCCGCTTTGTCTTTTGGGGGAGTTTATTGCCTTCAATAAGAAACATGTCTGAACATAGGATTAATAATGATTTTAGATCTCCTACAGTAAGTAGAGAAATTCAAAGAAAATAAAATATACGAATGTGCACTCCGCGACACCGGCAGTTTTTTTTTTTTTTTTCATTTTTCTCAAACAGCGTGTCGAAGGACGAAAAATTTTAACACCTAGGTTTTGAGCCTAAGATGAGCCCGTGTTACCATATAAGTAATTGCGGAAATGGTGTAATTTGTCAGTATACTTATGATGAAAAAATTCGGAACTGACTCCGTTGTACTAACTCTGTCACGCCGTGTACACCATCGTGAATGCAACAGAGGGGGGGGGGGGGGGGGGGATTGCTGCAATAGAAATGGATTTGTAGCTACGTCGCGAAAAAGCGACAACAAATCACAAATGGCAAAAAAATGTTTTTTTTTTTTTCAGACATTTTTATTGCCCGTGTTTTCGAGCAGCAGCACTCACTACTTCAATTCTTGTGGAAAGAGATGAAGCAGTTTGACTTCTTGCTCATGCAAAGGTGCGTTTTGCACTTTGTGCAGAAGGAGACCGGCTGACCTGTGCAACCTGGCATTTTGCAGCGCTGCCTTTTCCGTGCCACCTTAGGCAAGTGTCCCACACTATCTTGACGAACTTCTCGGTGCGGTGTTGTGGCTACTAGCCCTCTTTTCTTTTTTTTTCTCAATCTCAGCATCCACAGAGCGAGATGGTCGCCCTCTTTTTCTTGACAGGTCTTTGTTTTGCTCGCACAGGCAGCTTGCTACAGATGCCTTGAACATTAGCAGGTCTAGCTGCTCCTTCTTTGGAACAGCCAGGGCGTCGCCGACTCTCCGGTACATCGGCCAGCTGCTGACTAGAGCCATGTCCACGAAGTGGAAAAAAAATTGGAGGTAGAATTTTTTCAATTTTAGAAAAATACTGTAGTATGCCATCAGACCATCCAGCAGGTCCACACCACCCATAAATGAGTTGTACGTCTTCACAGCAGCTGGTTGCGGCACATCGCATGTCTCCTTTCGCTTGCGGTCGTAACGCTTGCAATATCCCAGTGGCTCTGCGCTTCCAAACATGCTCACGATTGTGACTCCGCGACTGTCATACCACTTGACAACTCTGACGTCTACATCTTGAAAGGTAGCCTGCCTTTCCTCGTGACTCCCTGTCCCGTTCTTCTTCATCTCGCTGTTGCTTGGCAGTCTACAACCAAGAGTCCTATTGGCACGGATAGTGCCCATAGCAGAAATGCCTCGGTGGTGCAGCTCGACAAGAAGCTTCACGGACGTAAACCAGTTGTCGAAAAACAGCAAGTAAGTCTTGTCAAGTGGAATGGTCTGAGAGAGCTGAAGCACTATGTTTGAACTTGCGCCAAGATCCGGCGATTCGCCTAGTATAGATGGAGAAATCATGGACCATCCCATGGATATCACAAAGGACGAAAATTTTGTAGCCGTACTTATGGGGCTTGCTGGAGAGGTACTGTTTCAGCGATGATCTGCCTTTGAATGGGAACATTTGTTCGTCGATTACCAGCTTCTGGGTTTTCGGTAGTCCTTGGAACTTGGGCAGAAGTATGTCAATGAACGGCCGGATCTTGAAAGGCTTGTCTTTTCCATTGTTTTGAGGCAAGAGGTCATTGTCATTCAGGTGGAGGTTATTTTTTATGTTCAGCCAAATGTCACGGGGCATGACCTGTGCGACTTTCTCCACTCTTGTACAATGGCTCCACTACATCCGGGACCTTGGCAGGCTGTAGATCGACATATACATTGTTATCCCCAAAAACTGCTCAAGCTCGAGACACGACAAGTACAGCGGCTTGTTTGCATTCTTCTGAACTGCATAGAGATTTGACTGCTCAGTAATGCGGCTCAAAACACTGTCGTCAAAAAAGTAGCGAAAATATCCAATCGGCGTTTTGGTTTCAGCGGGGGGATCTGGCAGCGAATCTCCCCAGGACGGATCGCAAGATCGTGGCTCGCTGACTCGCTTCCAGAGCACACTTCTTGGCATTGATGATGAAGGCTCGGAAGGCTCGTTGCTTTCATCTTCATCAACGTCTGCACAGGAGCGCGAGGAAAGAAATACTTTCCGTTAACAGGCGCTTCTATCGATTTTGAATGCAATTTTTTGCAATAAAAACACTGTCTAGTCATCACCATTGCTCACCTGTTCCGCTGTCGGACTCCTCCGTTGGAAGGGCGGAATACGTGCTTGGGCTGTATTCATCAGTTTCGCTGTCTCTAAGGCAGCTGTCCTCACTTTCCTCAGCAGGAGGCACCCGGACTCCATAGAACCCCTTCGGGTCCATCTTGAAGTAGAAACAGTCACTCATTACTAAAACTTAAAAGAGGAAGATATTTAGCGGCTTACAACGTGAAACGAAAATACAGAAAGGTGGCGCATTTCAGGGGACCTTATGACCGAATGATGCGAAAACGCGAAAAAGCATGAGTTGCTTCAAATGCCAATTTTATATTTCAGAAACGATCCCTTTCAAGAAATGGCATCTATTCTTCATAGCTTTGTTCGTCATCTGATATTTTATGAAGTTGAAATACTTGCCTTTTGCAACTGTAGAACGATGCAGACGGATTGCTGCGGCTGTACCTCATTCGGCGTTGCACCTTGCTGGAAGAGCTGCTCGTAGTGCTTCGTTGACTGAATCACAGATGGCGCCACTTTCTTCCTTGCCCGCAAACTTTTCGACGAGGATATCCATGCGTCACGATTGCGCCTCCGAGGTTTGAGTTTCGGTTTTGAGGCATGCAACCGGTATGTTGCGAATTTGCGACAACCGGCTAGAAGAGGTTAGATCACCGATAAGGTGTTGACTACCATAAACTTCGTATCGGAAACAAGCTGGAATACGAAATCGTGTTTGAGTAGTCGTGGAAATAGGCATTGCAGGCGCAAAAAAAATTTCTCAATTTTTGAATTTTCTGGAGTCAACATTAATATGTGGTTTGTTTAAATTGCGACATGTTTTGCTAAAACATAATCACTAAACTTTTCGCAACCGTAAGCTAGACCCAACGCCTCTTTTTCAATCTGGGCATAGCGACGTTCGGCTCCACTGAGCACCCGGGACGCGTAGCCTACCGCGCGCCAATCCTTTCCATACTGCTCAAGCCCAAGAGCGACTGCGGACATATCCGTTGACGATTTGATCGGTAAATCGGGGTCATAAATTGCTTGTACAGGGGTTTGAGTGAGCTTTTGTATTAGAGCGCAGCTCTTCGGCGCCTGTTTCCGGCTGGAGCGGCGTCGGCGTCGGCGTAACCGCGCGGTTAATCATGGGACATTTCCCATGATGATATCGCACATGACGTCACGTGTGACGTCATGAGGGTCACTAGTGACTTCATAGATGACGTCACACATGACGTCGCGTGTGACGTCACGAGGGCCACCAGTGACAGCACACATGACGTCACGAGGGTCACCAGTGGTCATAGATGACGTCATGAGTAATGTCACGTGTGACGTCACAAAGGTCACCAGTCACGTCACTCATGACGTCACCGCACGTTGCATTACGGGTAAATTTTTCCCGCTAAATGTAGCGGAAAAATTTGCCCGCTAAATTTAGCGGAAAACTTTCCCCGCTGAATTTAGCCGAAAATATCACCTGCTAAACTTAGCGAGAAATTTTCACCTAAATCGGAGGCGAGCAGGAGAGGAGGAGGGGTGGATACGAATGAGGAGGAGGGGCATACCCTCCTCTTCGTACCCTTCTGCTCCTCCCCCTCGAGAGCTGCGCTCTAATTCGGCGTTACACGGGATTGTAAACATCTTTCTTTTTTTGCTCCCACTCACTTTCATGCGCACTGTTTCAATCGAAAATAGTGTCGTTTCGAACTAGACTGCGCAAGGCCTCCGTCTGGAACGATAGGTGTGATAAGTACTTACCGAAGCAGTTACCGCGCGCAGAAGACGCTAAACTTCTCTTTCTTTTCTTTTCTTTTTGTTTTTGACGTAGGATTTTGTGCCACAAACGTGTCCTGAGGCGACAACCGTGCCCAGGTTCTTGTAATTTCTCTCCGGAGATCTCCGAGATTCGCAGCGGGCGCACCAAACGTACGTGGCTGAGACGCACGGCGGTCCCGACGCTTGTCCCACCGAGCGCGGCGAAGGCTTTGGAGGCTCAGGCGGTGCGCCGTTTTTGTACTGGCAGCCGTCTTCCACGACGTATCTTCGCATGGCCGAAGGCTAAGTTCCTCGCAGCGGCTAAGAGGCTGACGCTTCAATTCAGGGTCCGTTTCGCGAACAGTTCGCACAGAACACAGAAAATGCAAAGGGCTGTGGTACGCAGCCTTCTGTAGCTTGAACGACAGTGCGTGCGTCGTTCACTTCCGCAGCCAAGTAAATTCAAGAGCAAATCCAAAAGCGAGGGGCGTGCGCTTTCTAAAAAAAAAAAGGCATCAAGCGATTGATTCATAACACTCCAAGACACTGAAATTTGTTTTCTTGATTTCAAAAGTGTACCTCAAATGTATTTACTTCTTGTTAATCGAATAAGTGCAGAATTAAAAAAAAAAAACTAAAAAAAACTACGGAATTTTTTTTTAAAAGATGGTTTTGGTTAAATAACGCCGGCACTTTGCCCAAAGAATATGTTTATACCGGATAGCTAACAAAATATCACCCATAACCATTCCTGTTCTTTCTGACGCCGCCTCAGTGTGATAATATTTATAGATTACCCTTTAAGTGGCCACATTGATATCTAAACCTACAGTAGAACTCATCAAAGTCTCGAATAGAGAGTATATTATTCCATTCATTTGTTCTGTAACCAACTTATCAAAGCATGATTCAATCAGTTATTCCTACTATCTTTGTTATCGCTTTGTTAATTACATCGTAAGTTGGAATGCAAGTTCACACGCCACGAAGTAATGGTCGGCTAATTTTTGCTATATAACGGCCAATTTCGCAACAACATTCGGAGCGCGTATGCTTATATGATCAAGACATGAAGTCACAAGACGATCACCGAAACGTTCCTCTTAAGTTGGGGCTAAAATCAGTTCTTCCAGACCGAACTGCCCGCTAAAAGGTTGAGATACTCATAATTAATAGCCGGCGCTCTGAAGCGTATCAATGTTGAAATCACCTACTGAACAATAGGGGACAGACTGAAAAGTGCTGCGTTTCCCTGAGTTTTATCATTTTTAAAAGAATAACTGTAGGAGGCTTGTAAAAAGCTATTTAAATCAAGGACCAGTTTGAATCGCATAGCATCATAGAAAAAGAGTCGTAATAGAAAAACTCTACATCAAGTTTTCAGTGCACTATCAGTGTTTAACAAATATCGTAATTACTCCTCGTCGACCGATCGGCTGTGTCAGAAAATGATTTATATGACGGTATCTAGAAATCATCGAAAAATTGTTTTTAACATTGATCTCCGTTAGCACGAAAACGTCAAATAGTGATCACATATTCTTTACAGTAATACCAAAGTGGTGCCCCTATTTATGAATACTCCTAATAATTGCATGTAAAAAGTCAAGAGTACTATCAGTGACTGCTTCCGAGAAACGTTGAAATGAACAAAAATCTGAACGTCGACGGGGAAACTACTTTTAGTATTCGACACGCTTGTTGTCAGCTTTTATTCTTAAGGCGTTTAACAACGAAAAGAGTTCGGCAATTAATTCCAGCTCCGCCAACCAATGGATCCGTACCACAGACGAGGTTCCTATCTTTTTTGCAAACAGCTTCCCATTTTTGATCCAAGGAAATGTATACTGCTTGCGTCCTGCTCTCTCATATACGATCCAAAACTTCTCTTTTTGTTTTAGCTTTTCATTTAGGAAAAGTTTGGGCAACGAATCCTTCGTCCTAGAGTCCTCGGCTTACCTCGTGTGGCGAGCCACTGCTCTCTTAGTGACACTGATGACAGTCAAACCAGGACAACTGAAGGGCCGTCGCTCCGAGATGGGAATCGATGCACCGCCCGCATGTACCTTGGCTAAAAGTTTTCGAAGCCTAGCTGGTCAGCCAACTCGCCCGCCACGTAAACTAAGATTTCACTTGGGGCATGGAGGAAGTTTATGTATTCACGGTTTGAGAGACAACTGTACTAAAAATTCTTATATAAGCACCTAAAATAATCAAAGTCTTCTACTGTACATCTTCAAAGGTACGTCATCAAACTCAAAAGTCGCCAACTCATGAACTTTGTCCGAGCCCGACACGGGAGCGTCTTTCGACGCGTAGGCTGGACACGACGTCCAGTCGAACGTTGTCGCTGCGCTCGTGTCCAAATTGTGTCCGCGCTCGATCTAATTATGATGACAACACAATTGAAATGCGCGGGCTTTGATTGTTCTGGGTAGGTTTATTCAGAATGATATTTTGTCTAAATTGGAAAAAATTGACCAATTATATGGATCACCTGCAGAAATAAAGCGAAGTGCTTACGGAATCGCTACAAATTCTTCTGCCGGTGATGATGCCGTGTGACCTAGTTTTCCATGAAGTCTTTCATTGATTCCTGGCATTACGAAACTTTAACTGGAGATATTATCGGTACTTTTAGACTCTCGAAAGGTGATGAACACTAATTATTTCCAAAGAAATTTGAATCAATACGGTCAACGGAATGTGTCTTTTCTAATGTAGCCCTGGAATATTTGTTCTTATTTTAATTATTGGATAGTTCCATGGCGGGTGAGGAA